AAGACTACTTTACTACTTCGAACAAATATATCCCTTTCCGGGACATATCAGTTCTCTATGGCGATTAAATAAAAACAGTTTTATTTTTGAGCTGTTAAAATTTGGAAGCCATTCCTTTCCCCCACTGATCACTGATTTGGGCTCTTTTTCGAGAACTGTTGCCATTTTTTGGTTTTGGAATCCAATTTTGGTCGGATCTATCTATCTATCTATCTATCTATCTCTATTTCTCTCTCCCTCTCTCTCACACACTTATTAATAATATTAATATACGCAATATTTTACTGGGTACACGTGTTTAGGTGACTCTCCCTACATTTTTTTTATTTCTTTGTTTGTTTGTTTTTTTAAACGCCAAAATTAAGTACAACCGGCCTAGATCGAAAAGTTCAACTAAAGAAAAATTATGCCTTCAACGGGAATCGAAACTATATACCTTTTTTCATCACTTATATAGCTGACGAGTGTTTTTACCAATTTGGTCTTGGCTATAGGAGTGGTTTCCCTTCCATTTGTTCCATGAGCAAAGAATACTTATTTTAAAGAATGATGCTGTGTCAAAGAAATAAAGTTGTTGCAAGATGCCTGGAGATGTTCATCTGTACATAAAATTAAACTCTGTTCCAGACATATCTGAAGCTGTTCAGAATCTTCTTCTTATCCCTAGAGATACTACGTGTTTCTCCCCATAGACGTCAAATAAAAGTTAGGGTACTTCTAAAAGATATCAAGCCTCCAATGTTGTCCAATATAACTCTTTCAGATATCTAGCAGCAAATTTAATAACAACCGGCCTAGATTGAGAAGTCCTACTGAAGAGTGAGTGGCCATTGTTAAATATAATTAACCCTAGAACACTAACCATTGATATATAGTACCCAACACAAATTTTCCTATTTTTAATTACAATTTTCAGTACCTGATTTTCTTACCTAAATAATGTTTTTCAGTACCTATTAATGTTAACTCAAAGTACAAAGTTTGAAGTGCCTGCATGTAAAATATTTCAAATAAAGATTTATATTTAATTTTTTTTTTTATATTTTCAAAATCAGGTATGATATACCCATGGTTAGTAGTGGTGTAACTTTAATTGATGGTTAGTGTTCTAGGGTTAAGTAAATTGCAAAACTGTCCAACAAACAGATTTGACAAAGCTTACAACAAACAATAACAAGAAAAAGAAAAGAAAACAACAGTGGGGTGGGGGGAGCTAATATAAAGCAAGCAAACAATATATGCAAGGCAAATTAACAGTAATCAGGCAAAATAGCAGTAATATGCAATAAGTTCACAAACTAAGAATTGGGATTGACACACAAGAGCAAATTCAGATCAATGAACATAGCATTCTGACTTCAAGACAAGACAGACCAGGATTATTTTATTGACTATGAAGAAATCCCAGCATGCATTTCTGTGCTTCTGTCTATAAATTAGGGATAAACTCGGTTATTTTTCCTATCATTCCAATATTATTGGAATTCAACCATTGAAACAGGTTGGCCTGGATAAATCTACGAAGTCTACTTGAGACAGTCGCCCGTTTTTGTTCCTTTGCTGGAACTGATTTTCAACAACTGGATGAAGCAGGGGTCTATACCTCAACGCTTCACCAGGGGTGTGATTGTTGCTGCAATAAGGAAAAAAAACGAACAAAGATCAGGATAGGTAATTTTCGCCCTTTAACTATGTTAAATACAGAGATAAAGATTTTGGCCAAGTTATCTTAGCCAATCGTTTGCAGCTTGTCCTGTCTAGTCTGATTGGCCCTGAACAAAGTTGTGCTATGAAGGACAGGACTATTCAGGACAACCTTCATATGGTCCGCTTGATCAAGAAAAATGTCGATAGGTAATTTATCTGATCAATTTGTTATCAGTCCAAGGCCTTTGATAAGGGTTGACCATCAATTTTGGAGGCTGTTCTTTCGGCTGCCGGTTTTGGGCCGAACTTTCGCTCCTGGAACCGTCAGGTTTAATAAAAAACACTCCCCGGTGCGCTGGCGGAAGTGAACGGGGTAAGATAGGCCAGATTTCGTATTGTCTCGATCTATTCGTCAGGGTTGTCCGCTTTCGCCTATGCTTTACGTTTGAACGTTGGAACCTTTCATTGCAAATGAACTATAAAAATCCGGTCCTGCAAATGGATATTTTTTTACCTGGTGAATATCAACCTTCGCCAGGTATTCTGCCAAAATCATGACGACGTTTCGGTTCTTTGTGGAGCAGAGACGAGATTAACATTAAGTCAGCAAAGAAATCAGTGGTTATGAGATGGTGAGAGTAAAAAAGATCAACCGCGATAAGTCTGTTGGCTTAATTATTCCTCTTGCGTGGAAAGAGTTTTCTCCCCGGACCTTTCCACTGGACAGGATGGACCGGTCAAGATACTAAATGTCTGGTTCGGTCAAGATATCCAAAAGGAATGTTTTTTTTTTAAACAACTGAATTCCATAACGAGATCCAATTAATTTGTGGTCTCGGAGGAGATTTTTCCTTAAAGGGAGGGCGGAGTTAATCTGCTAATCATACCTACCGATTCTCCTTTATCGACTCCATGTGCTTCCAGTTCCGTCTGACACTTTGCTGGCGTTAGTGAAGCTCTTGTTCTCTTTCTTGTGGGGAGGCAAGGCTGTGAAGAGTCTTTCGGGAGATCTGTTGCCTTTATCCATCTGAAGGTGGTCTAGGAATGCGAATAAGCATCGAGATCCGTCTCTATATGCTTCGCATTTTCCTAGATCGTTTGTATCGCGGACCGGTCTTAGGAGGGCGCCTTCTGGAAGGAAGATGCCCGAAAGAAATTTCCCAAAGCTGATGAAAGGATAGATCGTGCGAGGAAGGTAACGCCGTTTACAAAGGGAATGATCTCGTATTACCGTGAATGTCGTCTTGTTCTTAAACGCCTCTACACAGGCGTCGGATGGCCTCTCCAACGTCCAGGCGTTGTCTCAAAGGGCATTATATCAAGTGCTAGTAGAAGTGATCTAATTGAATGTTCTCGGTCTGGCCAAAGCAGGAGGTTCGCTCGATAAATGAACATTGGATTCCCGGGTTAAAATGTCTAATAATAACGATGAGGCATCCCTCACCTGGCTGATGATGAAGTGGGGCCCTCGGGGCCGCCAAAAAATTTTTAACATTTTTTATTTCTTAAGAAATCTCTAAACTGCCGACGCTGTAGTTTTTAATGAAGTCGAGACCCTTCAGGACGTCTTGTTTCATTGCTCATTGGTAGCTCCCACTTGTAAGTTTGTTATCTAAAGGCCTCATGGTTCGAATGTTGACGGAAAGTTCTTTCTCAATTGAGGCCTCTTCTGTTTGCATTTCAATGTGGCACCGCCGTTGACTGGATGCCATTGAAGGCAGGATGTATTCCACCGCTTGCTAGGAGTTATGAGATTCATGATTTGGTCGACATGTCAAAGGATTCAGGATAGGTGGATAGAATTCACCTCCGATAAACTGATCTTGTTCTTTCGGCATTGCTTAAAGTCAAGATTATGGACGGAAGAAGTTACGACTGTCTTCATCAGAATTCAGAAAAAAGGTGGTTAAATCTTACGTGTGACTCTTTGAAGTTTGAAAGGGGCTGACCTGGAGTGGCAATAGAATGTCGGTTAGGTATAATTTTGTCCTTCCTGGGTTGATAGAGGCAAAGCCTTTATATTAGGCAAAGTTTGGGTTTTTAGTTTGAATCTTTGAAGTGTTTCTGGTTAACTTAGCTAGGGGTATGTATGCTCATTGGCCCCTTTTATTTCTGTCCCTATTTTCTTTTGTTTAATTCCCATCCCATTTCGCTAGGTGGTCAAATGTCGGTTCTCTGGAAACAGGGATGACTTTTATATTTCGTGGCAATGTTTTTATTATTTATTGTGTCTAAATGCATGCGTGTTCATGTGCGTGCAGACATTTTTTATAATGTTAAAAATCCTGCAATTATTTTGTCCAATTAACTGATGGTTCTGCCATTTTTAGGGATTTGTTTTTATGTGGTGGGGGTTATTACTAACCCTATTTTGTTTGTTTTTATGTAAATATTATTAATTCATATTTAGTGTTTTTTTTTTAAATTTTGTTTTTTCCATTAATGAGACTTTGAAATGTACATATGGGGACTAGTTAGGATTTCATAGACAATTTGAGGCATTATGGTGGACGTAGTAAGAAAAGGTAGGATTTGTGAATGTTTTGTTTTGGTGATAGGACTATTGTTGGTATGTTTGGGTCCGTGTTTGTGACTAGCTAAGTTTAGAATTAAGACAGAAGAAGACTGTCCTTCCCCAACCCCCTTTTTGGCTTTTAGGATTTAGCCACATTTTGTACATAAGTACAAATAAATAACCATTCCAAGCATTATTAGAACCAAACAAATTTCCAGTGACATTTAGCATTGCTATAACCATCGACAACAGTTTCTCAAAATCGCCCAACTCAACATGAATTCCTACTTTTTATGACCAGCTAGAGTTGGATCTAGAAATTAACTTTCATTCTGGTACGCAATAGCAGACGTATCAAATATGTCTAACCAGAAGATCTATTAACCCATGAGACTTGAAAATTTGTTTTGTCATGCGCATAAGCTACCACTTTCATGTGTAAATCTTTTTTTCTTTTTCATTCGTTGTGTTTTAGAAGAAATATATTAAAGAACATATTTGAAGTTATTTTGCTTCGTCGGTGAGTATAAAAAAAAACACGTACAAATAATTCTTTCTTCTTAGTTTACTGAATGCACTTATAGAAAACAACATTGAAGTGTCAATAAAACGTCGAATTTTAGATTAATATTCTCATCGAAAATAGTTTACTCCAGGAAAATGTAAAAAAAATGGTAGCTTGGTTCAATCACTTATGATGCACATAATTAAAACGGAAGATTGTCATGCATTAGCAGTTCTCAAAAGAATCACTTACTGCAATAATTGTGTAGAAAAGGGAATAAAAATGAAAATGTTGAAGAAAAGGGAGATGACGCAACTGAGAGATGATAAAAACCTACCCGAACAAATAAAGAGAGATTGGTGGAATGTCGTTTGAAGAGAAAAAGATTTAAAAGCAGGTCCAGTCATTGTAAGCCGTGGATGAAGAAACAGAAAAAAAAAAGATGAAAGAAAACGAAGGAAAGACGAAAGTAGAAAGAAGAAAAAATAAGAAAGAATAAAGAGATAAAAGGAATATGAAAAATAGAACGAAAAGTTTTTCAAAGGAAAAAAAAAAAAAAAAAAGGAAGAAAAAGAAAGTTTTATCTCTGAAAAAAAAAGGAAAAAACAGAAAGGAAAAAACAGAAAAGACAAAACAAAGAACAAGAATATGAAAAAAAAGAAGAATGGATGAACATAGAAGTAAAATAAAAAATAAAAAAATGGAGACGGTGTAGTGATCCCTTCAGTCAGTTATGTGCCATGCGTGATACACGCTTAAGTGATCATGTATCTTTCGATACATGACTGAAGAGCCAGATTTTTCCCGGCAGTAGGCTGCCATTTCTTTCTGCAGTAGACCAGTTGCCATCCAAGGCTATAGAATCCAATATGTCCTGCATAGCTGGATTGGAGGAGAAGAGGATTCATACCTTTCCCAATTCATAAGTGAATGTAATGTAGTTGGTTGGAATTCGAACTCGGCTCTCCGATTCTTCAATCCGAACGTTCTGCATTACGCCACCGATACCTCATTTCACCGAAATTCAAAGAAAATATTGCCAAAGAAAAGAAGGAAATGAAAAATAATTTTAAAGAAATTTTTAATCTGCCAATAATCTCTTCCATTTTATTTTCATTTGTCTGGAGATGTTTTCTTTAGAAGTGTTAATTAGTGCACAGTGAAAAAGTTGGTGAAGCAATGCCTGATGTACCTGACACACGTGACAGATTAGCTTCTGACGTCACAGCATCTCGTCGGACAGTTTAGTTTTCCTTTCATCGTGAGAGGAGTCCCGAACCAAAAATGAAAAACATAACCAGTACGCATCTGTACCAAACCTTCAGTTATTTTGGTATTTACGAAGTTTATTTTAATATGGCCAGTTGGGAGTCTTCTCAGTTGGCCTTTTGTTCCCAAAAGATTGTTAGCTTTTGATATAAATCTACTATCAATCTCAATCCTTGAGTTCTCCTTTTTGCTTCTCTATCTCTTTAATTCATTTTCAGTGTCATGTTTATATGTGTGTTTCTTAGCCATTTTCACAGTGATGACCGTTAACCCATTGGCGGTAGACCTGGAGACACAGAAGCCATATTGTTTATCCGAAAAGAGACCGTATGAAGCAAACTGCTTAACTAATTCGGCGTTGATCAGAGCTTCTAGTAATTTACCAAAAATAAGTAAAAGACTAATAAACCGATAATTTGAGTGGCCACGTATTTTCCCAGAGTTCTTAGAAACAGGAACTACAGAGGTGGGCTTCTTTTTACTTTGAAGAATTTTGGTCAGGGCCTGACAGGTGATGTTGGGTGCTGGTTAACTGAGAATGTTATATTATCCAGTAACACTTCCTCCATAATTTTTGCTTTGTAACAGGATCTTACCCTGTTATTTTGCGAAAATTATCATTGAAAGTACATCTTAGCTATGTGTTGAGAAATGTCTGCTATTTTTGCTGCAAATCTTTTGATGTTCACCAGGACTCGGGATCGTAGAGGAGGGTAGATTTGACGTTGGAGTTAAAGTTGGACAATTTGTGTTTGTACAGGTTTCCATGGAAGTTCAAATGTTCTTCAGTACAACAAACGCTGCTCGTACCTTGCCAACACAAAGAATGCTAAAAAAGAAAGATCTTAAATAAATTTTGTTAGAAATGAAAAAAGCGGACGACCGAAACAAAAAAGAAAGAACGAAAGAAAATCCCAAAAAATTAAAAAAGAAAGAAAAACCAGAAAAGAAAATGATTTTTATTGATTTAAGATTAATTAGAAAACACTTAATATAATATTTTTCATTTTATCAAATTTCAAAAGAAGCTAAAATCATTTTTAAAAAAATGAAAAAAAAGATTAATTTTATAAAGTTTCAGAAAAGATGGAAGAAAAACGCGGTAAACTTTTCTTGATAAAAAGACGGCCATTTACAAAATCACCAGAGTTGCCAACCTTCCCAAAGACGTACACATAAAAGTAAACTGCGACAGTCAAGTCCGACTGTATGTCTCAATTCACCAATGATATTATTAAAAGGTACGATTTCCAGACAAACCTCACAAACAAAATCAGTTGAACATATTAACTTCAGGTCAAAGTCAAAAATCCACATAAAAGACAAGGTCAAATGTCATCCATTCAATTAAATTCAAAAAATGTTCACAATAACAAAACCCAAAATCTACGAACCATTCCAAACCGAAATTCGGTTCAATCGATCAATGTCCCAAGCTCAAGTTCCAAGGTCAAACGTCAAATGCACAATGATGGATAGTTCACGTAAAAAGTTCTATCGCAAAGTTTGTTTTATTTAATAGTAAATTTCATCCAGTACAAAGCGTGAGAGCCACTCAAAGTAGAGTTTTACTGTTAATGATGAATGGGGTGTGTGATATGAACGAAAATGCAGGTGGTGAGAAGTAAAGTTTATGAAGACAAAGAAGTTAGATGACGACTGACCTTTGACATGAAGTGGTTAGAATTGTTGCATTCAATGAATCGCCCACGCAAGAAAAGCACGTTCTACAAAAATTCACAAAAATTTAAATACGGCAACTAAAACAAAACTCTTTTCTGACAAATTTCTCTCGGAAAATCATTTTATATATTAAATTTCACCTTTTACAAGACTCAAGAGACAATTAACGTAGAGGGTTGAAGGCAAAATGATAAAGATGAATTAGATATGTGGCAGAGGAGGTGGTAGGAAGTGAAGATTATGGGAATAAAGTGGAAAGATTGATGCTTTGACTTAAGGAAGTCAAAATTTTAGTGTTCGGGGAAGCATCCACATGGGAGTCTGTTTCATAAAGTGACAGTTTTTGTGGGAACGCTGTCTGAGTTGAACGATCTTCTTGCCTTTAGAACATGAAAGAAATGAGAGTGATTTGATTCCATGGAAGTCGCATGACGTGTTATAGCTGGAAAGTGGAAGTAAAGAATGGAGCGCTCATCTGAACATTTGCCATGATAATTGGCATAGAGAAAGGGAACAGCTTTTTAACTATACACGTATACAAAAGAAGTTGAAGTTCTGCAATACACTGCACCAAAGTGCATTATGCAAGTCAATGCTTTCGCAATAAAATTGTTATTACACAAATAACGTTGACTAAAGTTTATGGATATATTTATATAAGCTTTATATTATGTGAATTTTTTCTTTAAGAATATATATTAAAAATAGCAATATTTTGTTTTGTGGATATCAGATTTTATTACGCAAAGTGTAACACAATTTTGTATCCAAAAATAAATCCTAATGATATAGGTATTAGTAAGATATATTTGATTAACGCAATATCCTGTAGACTACTACATGAATTTAAGTGTGCTACTAGATTGGCGATTAGGTCTCACTGTGTTTACTGTTGAACTAGTTAGCTGCAACCATCACGTCTTCTTTAACAGTTACTTTACTCGCACTTCGTACCTGTGGAACTTCCTTTCTATTTCTTCCTTCCCCGATAAGGACAATCTTCAAAAATTGAAATGCAACAGCAGTGGCCGACCTGTTTCTTGTTTTGTCTTTTCCTCAATCCTCTCCATTCTCAGTCTGTTCATTCTTTTTCACTTTCACTCCCTGCGTCTTAGGGGCATTACCGCCTTGCTTAGTGGTGAAGCGATTAAACAAAAACTTAAATGATCATTTTGCTATTTCCGCTGATATTCTGTAACACTTCATAAGTTTTTATGTTTTCAATATAACACCCATTGAGCCAAAGCGAGATTCGAACCGGGAACCTCATGATCGGAATGCGAACGTTCTAAGAGTGTTTATTATTCGTCACCTGCAAGCAGTTTTAAAAATGCAGGAATAAGTAATAAAAGTAAATAAAACTGTGCTGTAGTTGCAAACAATGAAATCTAAATCACAAATAGAAAAGATTCTTTCGTTTGTCGAACTATTTCAGTAAAAATGTTTGAAGTTCCAAATTTAGGTGATGGGGACATAATATTGGAATGACATTCTCTTTTCATGCTAAACTGGTGATTTAAAACATCCATGAAAACATCACAAGAATATGAATTGGAAATGAAATCTAAGAGATTTTTGGCAACAAAAAAAATTCTTAATATTATAATGAGATTCTTTTCATTTCATGTTTGTGATTTGATACATTCATGGAAACAGGATATTTTTTTTACTGAAACGAGACAAGAATATGAAAGGAAAATTTGATCAAAACAGATTCGAATTAATGTAATCATTATTTTTGCTACATAATGTCAATATTGCAATTATTCATTTATTTTCTCTCTTTTCACACTATTCTATTTGCGACGAGATTATGAAGGAAAACAGGTAAAAAGGAAAAATAGACTCAAACTCTAATTAATATTTTGCCGAATATATTCGTAATATTGTGAGATTCGATTAATTTTTTCTTGTTTTAATACAATTCTTAAAATGGTATATCTTCGTTGAAACGTCAAAAAAATCTGAATGAAAAATAATTCCGTCTCCAAGGAGCAAATATCTGCTGAACAAAATAAGGGCTTAGTTTCATTATTCAACCGACCAACTTGTTTTTTGCTTGTTTTCGTCTCAGGTACGAAAACAATAGGAAAAGAGGCAAGCAGATCGTTCAGATCTGCCTTCACTGGACAGAAACAACATCAGCTGTAATATATGTGGCTTTCATCATGTCATGTGACCGGATATTCTACAGATAAATGGTAATGATTTTTATTTTAACCTTTGCCGCTCTTTCTTCCTGTTGTCTTTCATTTTATTGAAAGCAATTACCCCAAGCCTATTGTTGGTGGTGAGGGGAGTGCCTGTTCAACTGACCAACAAACCCACCCACCCCGCCCGCCAGCTCTACGTTCTTTGAAACAAAGAGTTTGGTGATAAAAAGTCAGCATTAACTTTTCACTAACTGACCTTAAGAATGGAAAACGACGAATATGAACACTAGCTGCCATATGTAAGTAGAATTCGCTTTATCGAAATTTGCCTCTCTCTCTCTCTCTCTCTCTCTCTCTCTCTGCCAAACTTTTTTTCTGTTTCACTAATTTAACGTGTTTATTTATTTACTTTTCTTGTGTTCTAATTATTCTAACCTAATTTCTAAGTCTGTAAGTTCGTCTAGTTCGAAATCTCCCTTCCAAAAAGAAAAAAGAAATCGCCTTGGACAGCACTTGAACCTACGTCGTCGGTATTCTTATGTTCTAGTTGAGCGATTATTTTGCTAGATAAAATAGACTAGCGTGGAAATTGTTTGGCCGTATCTTTCTTCCCGTTGTCTTTCATTTTATTGAAAGCAAGTACCCCAAGATCATTGTTGGTGGTAGAGGGAATTGACCGTCCGCTCCCACCGGCTCTGCGTTCTTTAAAACAAAGAGATTGGTGATAAAAAGTCACCATCAAATATTCACTAACTGACTATGAGAATGGAAGTCGGCGAATATGAAAACTAGCTGCCATATATAAGTAGAATTATATGCCATATCCACAATGCTGGATAACCGATTTTGTTTTTAGGATAGGGTAATGGGATTTTATTAAATTAAAACTTAATGTAATGGAAGGAAAAAATACAAATAACATCCCAGTCCTATCCCTCGGTAAATACGTCTTCTGGTGTCAGTTTGGACTTCTTGTCAGCTGCAACCTTCTTTTTTTGTGTTATATGTAATAGGAGTAGGTAGGCTTTCATACCGTCCGGTCAATACTCCTCCGCCTTCTATTGGACAAGAGTAGACGCTCACACTTTGTTTCTTGTTTAGGATGGGGTTCCCGGAACACACAAAACACACACACACACACACACACACACACACACACTCTCTCTCTCTCTCTCTCTCTCTCTCCCCTAAATCTTGAGTAGCGCCTTGAGCGGCCGCTCTGATCAACAGTTGTATAAGACCGGGGTGTCTGTTTTGTCATGTCGCGCATGGAAAGGTGTCCTTGCAGTCACATCCGGTGGGCAACCCTGTGTCCACATTATGTTGCAGGCTGTGCCAACTTCTCTCTTTCTAACATCCATGGCATTAGAACCAACTTCTACAGTGTTGAATCTTTCCTTGTTGCGAACTGCCCGGATATGCTGGCTCTCCGTGAGACCAACCTTGACTCTTCTATCCCCTTCTCTGACCTCTCGATTCCCGGCTACCTTCTTCTCCTTAGAAAAGACTCTCAAACCCATATGCATGGCCTTGGAGTTTACGTCAAGGACCATCACCCGCTGGCAAGAGAACTGTCTCTTGAATCTCCAGATCATTCGTATATGTGTCTGCGGCTATCCCTTCTCAATGCTGTAAGCTACCTCTTCTTCCTTTATCGCTCTCCATCCTCCCAAGACTGTGGTATAATCGAATGCATTTCTGACATTGACAAGGCTCTCTCTCTCTCTCTCCATCCGTTTGCATACATATTCGTGTTTGGTGATTTTAACGCCCATCATACCAAGTGGCTTAAAAACGCTACTACTGATCTTGCAGGCATTCAAACCCTTAATTTTTCAATTTCTCAATCCCTAACGCAGATACTTGACTTCCCCACAGGTTTTTCCTACAACCGGGACGGTAAGGCTTCTCTTCTCGGTCTATGTTTTACCTCCATCCTCGACTCCTGTATCGCCACGCAGCTCTGCCCTCTTGACAACTCCGATCATGCTGTAGTGTCTATCAACATCTCCTTCAACTCCACCTCCTGCAAAGAACCTCCTGCCTATCAACGAGCAGACTGGGACTCGTTCCGGGATTTCCTTCGCGACATCTCCTGGGACGTTGTCTTTACGCTCCCCATTCAAGAATGTGCTTCCGAGATCTCCTGGGTTAAAGCTGGAATCGAGGCTTTCATCCCCTCAAGGAAATATAAGGTCAAATCGCGCTCCACCCCTTGGGTCTCCGCTGCTTGCTCAGTCTGACTGCAATAGACGTCTCTTTGCCTCTGCCCGTAAGGAGTGTAAGCGTGTCCTCAATGAAGCAAAGTCACAATTTACTGCTCGAGTGAATGAATGCATCTCGCAAATTCGACTCCAAGGATTATTGGCGTCTCTGCAAGAGCGTCCTTAACAATAGCAAACCCTATATACCTCCTTTGTTCAACCAGTTCGAGGTTTTGACCTCTTCTGCCGACAAGGCTGAATGCTTTCCTCGTAAATTCTCATTAAATTCAACGCTCGACTCTTCCGGTGTACCTACACCCGATTTCTCTGAGGATCTATTAAGCGAGCTGCACATAACCCCGTCATCGGTATTAGGAATTATTTCTAATTTAGACCCCCACAAGGCTAGTGGTGGAGATGGGATACCAGCCATTATCTTGAAGAAATGTGCGCCTGAACTGGCCCCTGCCCTCTGCAAAATTATATAACTACTGTCTCAATGAATCTTGTTTTCCAGACTGTTGGAAGTCTTCAACCATTGTTCCTGTCTTTAAGAACTATGGTGACTCTTCTGACCCTTGTAATTACCGTCCTATCTGTCTCCTACTCCTCTTCGGCAAAGTCTTCGAAGCTTTAATCAACGCCGAAGTGGTTAAGCACCTTACATCCCATTATCTGCTCTCCGACAACCAATATGGTTTCCGCTTTGCCCGTTCTACAGCTGATGTGCTTACGGCCATCACTGAAATTGTTTACCAAGCTCTTCATAATAACGAGGAACCCAGACTAGGCTATGCAGAAGATTGACAAACCAAACCCCGTGTATGCAGAGTATACGGGGAGTTTTTGCCCAAGCCTACGGGCTCAGATCGCCCCACATAAAAATCGGTGTTGTGCTACTTCGTGGGGAGGTCGTTAAACATCGTTTGCCATCCATCAAGCATCATGACGTCGAAATATCTGCCTTCGGGTGGAGAGGAATCTAGACGAGGTTATACCGAAGAGCAGAATCTCATTTAGGAAATTTTGACAAGCCCGACCCCATGTATGCGAGATCTACGGGGATATTTTACCCGAGCCTACGGGTTCGGATCGGCCAACATCCTGACTCGTGGGGAGGTTGGGTAAATACCGGCTTTGCTTTCCAGCTTCAGACAAACTTGTAAATATCTACTTGTTCTTGTTTAAAATAAACCCTTATACTTTTTAAGTTGTCGTTCTGGTTAATATTTTTAAATAACCATCCCGAACAACATAACAAAAATGGTAGCGCATAATCTGCTGATATCACCCCATTAACTAAACATTATTAAATCATTAATTTCGTGTCATAAGACAAGTTAGAAAAATAATGAGGCGTTTTGAAAGGCGCCGGGAAGAAGTTCAAACGACAAACGAAGAAAGTGTTAAATGTTTAATTTTTTTTATTGTTATCGTGAATTCAGAAAAATAATTGGTTCTTGGTGATCTTAGAAACAAATAACAAAGTATAACATCAGTAAATATTGTGAAACTAATAAATAAGAAATTATTACAAGAGTTTTCAGCAGGAAAAAAGATGTAGAAGGCTGAACTTCCTTCAACTACAATAAGGATACATCTTATTCATATTAACCAGTGACGGGCTCTAAATCATAATTTCCATGGATGATAGGTGGGAAAATCACATGAAATTTTATCAACAAACAGTTAATTAGCTGCTGTCAAGGTTGACAAAACAAGTCACAGGTTTTTATTGTTGTGACATCGTTAATTATGAGAAAGTTACAAATACACATTCATCCTTGTGCAAATTAATTGAAACAACCGCTTTAGCTTCCTTCCTTTCACCATACGGTCAGTTTTAGTCCCACTGGAGTGGCAGGGTGTAAACGATTTCTATTTTTTCCTCAGATTAGGTTATTTGCAGTGATGTGCAGTATTATGAATCTATTTTCGCGGTATATGATGACATTTGTTTGGCCTTGAAAAATATTGGGTCATCCGTGATTGCATCAGATTTTCATCACGCTCAGACACTATTGTCTCGACTGTCAATTAGTTGTCCTACGGCCATTGTCTGCGATGGACGTTACTCCAAAGAAACGTATGAAAATTGTAACGTTGCAGTAACACACTGACAAGTCTTACCAGTGAACAAGCCTTACTATAGACTAGCCCAGAAACTGTCCTTATTTAAATCCAATCGAGAATCTGTGGTCAATCCGCAAGGAACGACTTCGTGGAATAGACATAAGAAATATTAACATGTGCACTGGGTCATGTTTCATTGGAGAATAGGAAAAAAAATAAATAATAATGGAATTATTCGTTTTGTTTCAATTAATTTGCACAAGGGTGTAGATTAACATGATTACGAATGAATACAAAAGTGAATTCTGTACGAATGACTACAAGTGCACGTGTACGTATGAACAAAGGATTAGAGACTTTGATCCTCTTAAATGGTTGAACTTAAGTAAAGTCAGTATTTCAACAGATAGTCGCAGCATAAGCATTTCTAATTTCACTTTCGGAAGATTTTAAAACGTAGGCAAAAACAAATCTCATTGGACAAGTTTCTAGTGAAAGCGAGGCCCACTTAGTCTCAAGTAGAGTCCGTCCTTGGTAAGACGATAAACTACGTCCGCGTCCTGGGTAAGACGATAAACTACATCCGCGTCCTGGGTAAGACGATAAACAATATCCGCGTCCTGGGTAAGACGATAAACAACATCCGCGTCCTGGGTAGGACGACAAACTACGTCCGCGTCCTGGGTAAGACGATAAACTACATCCGCGTCCTGGGTAAGACGACTAACTACATCCGCGTCCTAGGTAAGACGATAAACAATATCCGCGTCCTGGGTAAGACGATAAACTACATCCGCGTCCTTGGTAAGACGACAAACTACGTCCGCGTCCTGGATAAGACGACAAACTACGTCCAACAGCTAGGCCTTTAATCAGGATGTTTTGGGGAGCATGGAACCACCTCTTTATTGCTGGTGTTCCCAGGTCCACCCTGACCCGACGTGGTAGCACCTACTAGGGTCCCAACTTTGGGCAAATAGTTACCCCCCCAAACTGAGGTCAAAACACTATGAAAATGTAAAAATGTGTGTTGTGTGTGTGTGTGCGTGTAATATACATTTGAATATACATTTGAAAAAGTATATATTAGCCGAGACATTTATTCTAAAAAAGAATATTGTCCAAAAAATACAGATAGATAAAGAGAGAGACAAACAGACAGACAGACAGGAACAGATAGATAGATAGATAGATAGATAGATAGATAGATAGATAGATAGATAGATAGATACGATCAGACTAAAATAGATAGATAGATAGATAGATAGACTAAGATAGATAGATACGAATAGACTGAAACAGATAGATAGATAGATAGATAGATAGATAGATAGATAGATAGATAGATACGAACAGACTCAGATAAGCAAAGATAAGATTTAAAATCAAACAATTTTATCACATTTTTGAAATTTTATAATCTGCTAATTTCATGATTCAGCACATTTTTCACGTGATTGTTTTTGTTCCTATTGTCATTTTATATTTCATCTCTTTGACTTTAGAAATTCTGTGCAATGAATTCACCTGAAAATGTTCCAAGCATTTCGAATTACATATTCAATTACAATAAAAACATAAAAACATGGCGGAAATTCAAATTAATTTTCATACCAAATGTTCGGTGTATGTGCACTTAAATGCGTACGTGGCTCTATGTGTGTGTCTATGTATATGTACGTATATCTCTATGCATATCATTATATCAATGATATGTGTGCACATTCGATAAAAGTGACTCACCTTATCCTTTGAATTTAGCTCAACTTTCGTTTCATCGGAGAAGAGAACATTCTTCCAGTCTTCTACGGTGAAATTTTTGTAATAGTGAGCCCATTCAAGTCTCTTGGCTTTGTTGGCTTTTGCTTATTAGCGGCTTAAACCTTTGTACAAGATTTGTAGCTTTTTCTAACAAGTTCTAACCTTATTCTGACGGACTGTTGAAGAGGCAAGACTAACACCTTGCTCTTTGCTTAGACTGGCTGCAATTTCTTGGCTAGTTATAGTCCTATTCTTCGCAACTTCTCTCTTGATTACCCTGCCAGTTCTATCATAAATCTTTTTCTTTCGTCCCCTTGTTTCCTTCCTTGGAGCAGGAGTGGCATCATTATGTGCCCTAAGCACTCGAGAGACAGTTGATTGCGAGGTTATAGTAATTTCTACAATTTCTCTCCTAGATTTGCCTGCTTTTGAGAGGGCAATAATAGATGATTTTAAGTGGTTTCTCAGTGTACCCTTTATTTCAAAGTGGCTATTTTTTTTATACTGTATGAGGCTTTCTGGAATATTCTGGAATACTCTAGATTTAATTTAAGGTGTTCTAGAATTCTCTAGAATATTGTTCTGAGTGTATTGTAAAATAATTTTCAATATTTTTTCAAAAGCTCCTTAAATTTACCAGTTTAATCATTAGAATGCGATATCTCTAAATTTTTTTTTGCACAGATTTTTTTCCTGAATCTCATTTATATCCAAATTTATAATTATCAATAGAATACATTAGGGTGAATAAACTTTTTTCCTAGGTGGTCGGGAAGGGGTCTTTATATTAGTAAGATTAAAAATTATTTTAACCTCAAAAACAATAGACAAAAATATTTTTAGTAAAAAAAAATCAGGTGAGTCACTTTTATCGAACAGCACTGTATATATATATATATACATAAATATATATATATAAATCATATATATATAAATCAAAACAATCAATATATATAAATATACATGAATATATATTTATGCTTACAAAAATAAATTGTTGTCTATAATTATGCGTGTTCTGTAATTGAATAAAATGAATAAATGACGAAACCAAAAAAAAAACTATTCTACACAAGACTAGTCCAATCACCATAAATGAACAATACATAAAAAAAAACATAACACATCTAATAACAAGGAACATAACAAAATGGAATAAATGTTCGTTTCCTTTGTTTGATGCAGACATTAACACGTTAACAAAAGAACAAAGAGGAGACTGAATGGCATTTGGCATTTAACAATCAAATGTAATGTTTCTTCCTGATGACTAAAAAAAAAATAAAACATATCTTATTACAAAGATAAACTTTTTTTCCGTATAAACTGCTCTGTCATTTTGAGCTTCAATAAACCAATGGCATCGTATTTAAAAAGCCTCGTTGATAAAACCTATAGTAATCGCATTTGCATATTCCACGTGACAATATTAATCATTGCATATTTTTAAAATTTTCATTGGCGAAAATAAGATTTTCCCTGAATCCTCTTATATCAAATTAATAATCTAAATCCTTTAGGTAGAATAAACTTTTTTTCCATGTGTTTGTGTTTCTTTAATATACAATAATAATTTGAAAAAATTCACTGAATAATAATAATAATAAAAATATGTTTCTAAAAAATTCATATAAACATTTTTATCGAACAAACTGTATATTGGCAAACATAGATAGATAATTTACCTGATAATAGATAGAACAAATCAATGGAAAGATTAGATAAGAATGAACAGTTTACTTGTTAGAAAATAATTCATTCATAATTCCTTTCAACCAGTTAAATTAACCTTTTTTTTTTTTTAAAACAACCCGACATATTTTCTTTTAATAAGAATCTTCAGATTTTCACTAGAATTTAGGTCCTCTTAATTTTGGACTAAAGAATTTTTATCTCATTCAGCCCAATTTATTTTTATTAATGAATCTTGAGAATAAAAACAATTGTGTTTCAAGAAACTAAAAAACAGAATTTTGGGATTTTTTTTCCTGTAGAATCTGAAATTTACTTGAAATTGACGGATAAATAGTCTTTTTTTATATTTAATATATAGTTATGTTTAAGGTATAATCAAATGACTGACATTCTAAAGAATATATGTATTAATATAAAGATAAATATAAGAAAAAATGTTGATAAAATTGAACATTAATGAAGATGAACTAGATAGATAGACTAATAAATATCAATCGTAAAATAATATTGAGAAGTAAATGAGTTTAAAAGGTCCAATATAGGTTAAATCTGAAATGATTAAAATTTTTTTGAAACGACTGACATGAATTTCCAAATTGGCCAAAAACAGATTGAGTTGAAAAAAGTCATAAAAACATTCTGCAGAAATTGAAAACTTCTGATTAATTTTTTCATGAACCGAATTTTTAGTTCAGTTGGAAATTATATATTAAGAAACGATATAAAATGATCGACGTCAATGGCAAATTGATTTGAAAGTATGAGCAAAATCGGTGAAAATGAATTTCTGATTACTGATTTTTAAAGAATTTTTGGCTAACATTGAACAGATGTTTTATTTTTCTTTTTAATGTTTTTTACAGGGACTCTTCATTGGGTTGGTTTTGGTTAAAATATCAATATTGGGAGCGTTATAATCTTTGATTTATTATTTATTATAATAAAAATGATAGAAAAAAACTTATTTTGAATGATTTGGCTCAAACTTTTATTCAAATTTAATTGAAGAGAATTAAGAACCTTTGGTTTAGATTTTTCAATAGTCCATAGGTAAAGTTGGTCAGTTTATTTTTAAAACTATTTCAAAAATCGATCTTGTTGATAGGAAAACCATAGAAGCAAAGGATTAGTCAGCTTAGAGTTGTCTTTTAATCAATAAAATTTTGAAATAAACATATTTCTAGTACTACGATCAAATTCAAAAATTGGTCAAGTATATAATTTATCAACAATTTAATGAATATATATTATATATATATATATATATATATATATATATATATATATATATATATATATGCCATTCATATATATATAAAATTCTTCTTCCGATTGAAAAAAGAAACTTTATAATACTTTGAAGTCTAAAAAACTGTTGGTATACCGGAAAAATTTGAATTCTTGTTAAAGAAAGAACTAGAAAAGATCTATAAGGTATTAAAAGTCCAAATTCCTAGGATTTTTAAACTTGCGCTGATATCGTATACCATTATCCAGACTATGTCAATAATTTTCCGTCAGCTGGGATATATATATATATATATATATATATATATATATATATATATATATATATTGTTCTTATCTTCCCTCCTGTGTTATGTGTGTTATTCGTCTATATATATATCTTTATAGGGACAAGTCTCTATTTTTTTTTTTTTTAGAATTAAATCTATTTGATTGATGACGTTTTGATTTAACCACCTGTTTAGAAATTTCGGAATGACTTGTTTATGTTTCTGATCGATTGGTTAAAATGGATCCATCCACGATCAAGAGCTTTGTGGGGCCATTCTTGATTAATCTTTAAATTATCTATCGCCGGAAGGAATTTTAGAAACACAGATGAATCAATCAAGGTGGCATTTTCATTCGATACATTTTTTTTTGAGGGAGAACACGAAACAAGAAAAGTGGCTTAAAAACTCTTTAAAATCCAATCGGGGAAAGAAATATCAATCAACAGCATCCGGGGTTATTTTTTTTAGAAATAAAAAAAACGGCTAGTGCTAGAATGAAAGGTGAAAATGCATGTGAAGGATTTTTGATAAAGACTTCAATGTTTGTCCATTATATATATATATATATATATATATATATATATTCTTCGTGGAAAATTTTTGTGTGAGAAAGATTAATGAAATGAAAGAAAATGCAAAGAAAAACCTACCAAGAAAAAGGATAAATAAAAAAAATTAAACAATTTTGGAAAAGCAATTTTGAAAAAAAAAATAATTAACAAAAAAAAAATTTTGACATGTTTAATGATAGGCCCTAAAATGGACTATCAAATTTAAATTCAAATAAACGTCTCCAAAGTTGGCTTTTCATGGACAATGAATCCATTAAATGCTTCTTTTCGATATAAATGATTTTCATCCAACTATTGTAAATCCTTGTTTACAAATGCATTGCTTTAAAAATTGAATCAGGCCAGAAGATTTTGAATATATATAAACCTTTATATATATAAGTCTGTTTGAAATTGTTCTTCCAAAAATATATATATAAATATATAGAACTATATATATAAAATAAGTGATTTTATTTTGCAATTTAAAAATTAGTCTTATAACAAACGCACTTTGGAATCATAAAAATAAATAAACAATTTTTATAATTGATAATATAGATATATATAATATATATATATATATAATATATATATATATACTCCAAGAATAGGATTTCTTTAGCATCTAAATAAATTCAAAACAAAAAAATTGCAAAAAAAACCTCAGTTTTATTTATTTTTAGTATAATAATTTTAAAATATTTGGAGAGAAAATTATTTCAAAATACTAATTTTATAATGATTGGTCTACGGTAAAATATTTGAATAAATTTTTTTATATATTTTTAGTATATATAACAAAATATATATTGAATACTCGCCTATACTTCATTTCAGTTTCAACTCCATCTAAACATTGATTCATAAAATTTAACAAGTTATGAAATTTTTTGTTCTATCTTACGTGCAACTAGGAATATTTCTCTTAAAAAAGACGATTGGTAAAATGGAACAAAAGTTTTTACTTATCTCATACCTGGCAGGGTGGAATGGCTGAGTATTAGATGAATTCAGGTCTTCGCTTGAAAAGTAAAATCAACAAAAAGGCTACTATTTGAAGGTTGAACTCCATTTCCCTCTTCAGTGACTCAAACCGTTACGTTAGTAGTATATTAACCTACCAAATTAAATAGGTAAACAAATATAATTGAAACTATAATCAAGATTTTTCAAACATTCCTATACATGAGGTGCCTAAAAAACTGAATAACGTCCCCAAACGATCCTCCACCAGTGGCATTCTCAGGACATCTCAGTTCATCTAATAAGGCAGATGAGAAAGCTAAGATTGACTAAATAATCCCTGTTAAAGGTCTAGAAATAAGACAATGAGAAGGTTAGTTTCCCTGGTTAATCTTATAGAAGAAAAAGGAAAAAAGAGGGTAGACTAAATGAAATTTCAGTCAGGGTTATAAAGACCTAATCCAGTTAATTCCTCATCTGGATCATTCCAACCATTTCATTTTTGCCACTCTCCCCTAACCATTCTTACCGACACAAAGATTCAAGACTCATCCATTTATTTAATTAAAAAGAAAGATTATGGTCCACAGATATTTATTTTTTTTTTAAAAAACCTTCGAAATCCGACCACTTCAATTCCAGCAAAAGATCTGGACCGAAGACAGGTTGAAAACCAGGCTCTACATGATCCGTCTGTCTAGAGGAAATATGTGTTCGGCAACTTTTTTTCTGTACAGAATTTAATAATAGATAAGTCACAACATTTATAAGCTGCGCCAAAAAAAAAACGTCTTAAAAATGCGCCCGCCGTGCTGTCCTGGTCCCGGCGCCAATTGTTGACGTTTCCTGGGTCTGTCTTCGCGCCGTCGCCGTCCTATCCTGTCCTGTGACGACCAATGTGACTTGGTATTGGTCGCGGCACCAAATGTGACGTTCTAACCTTTTGCTGATTCGGATGGGAATCTGGTTAGATTCGGTATCAGCCTTGTCGTTCCCAGCTCGCCTCCAACGTCTGGTTACCGAAGTAACTGTTTTGATTTCTAGTCTAACCTACCCACGTTGTGATTTGATCTTAGGTAGACGAAATCAATCAGTCGCCGGGCCGTAATGCAAGTCGAGTCCGAACAAGGGTAATACCGCACAAGTATATGTAAAAGAAAATAAAGTAATAACTCGAAAAGTTCAAATGTGTTAAAAAAAAGAATAACAATATTTTATATCTGGTTTGCTGAATACAGGACTGCGTCTTTCTCCCAAACCGCTAATATGGATTCGTGACACTTTGTGTTTGTTAGGCGAGTCTTAACATCTTAAGTTGTTTTTTTCTTTAAGAAACTGGTTTTGGTGTATCTTCAGGCGATATTCGTAAAACTTGTTTTGGTGGTGTGAGTCTAAGTCGTTCTTCAAAAATAAATTGTTCTTGGTTAGAAGTTGAGGTCGTGATTGCGTGAATCTTTCAGTCAGCTTCCTGCGAGGCGGGTCTTCTGAGCTCTCAGCTCACTGCAACAAACTTGCTCTGTCAACTCAACTCAACCCCAACTGCAAAACTCAACTGCCGTCCACTCGCTGCGACTCTGCTTATATGGACGCCGACCAAAACCGGGGTGGGCTTGTCGGGGTTTGAGGTTCCTTGATAATTCTAAATCCGCATTAAGAATTTTCTTTTTTTTTCGGTCAGGAAAATTTATTACTTTCCATTTTTGAAAGTTTTACTTTCTTTCCTTTCTTCCTTTTCATATGGGTATATCACCGCAATCCCTTCAGAGGGCGTCAACAGGTTTCCTTCTCTCATAGTGGTATCTCACACCGATCCCTTCAGGGGGCGTCAACAGGCCTCCCCTCCTTCTTCATGGTTTACCTTCGCCTACCGCTCACGCCACCATTCAGCCAATGAACGCTCAGTGGCGTGGGGTGTTAGACTAGCCTCGGTTTAAAATTATCGCTCAAAGAAAAAAAATATCTTTTTTTTTTTTTTTTTTTTCTTTCTTTTCTTCTTCCCGACAACAAATCCTTAATCTCTATCTTAACCGAATTTCATCTGGAGTTCGTCAATCGAGATTTTCGCCAGCATCAAGTGGGTGGTCATCTGGACGTATTTGCATTCTGTCGCCAATTAATCTGTTCCGATAAAATTTTTTTATCATATCCATGTTTTGGCAATAAAACAGGTTTTTTTTTCAAACAAATGTTATCTCCGACGATAGTTAATGGGTTTAATCTTTTCTTTCTTTCTAACTTGGGTGGTCCAGCGGACATTTTTTTTTCGGTCAGTGCATGACCTAATTAATTTTATCTCTTAGCATTCTGTCCCGTAGGCCACTCGACCAATTTGAAATTTTTCATTATTGCCATGGGCAGATGGCTATCTTTTTTATTCGGTGCGTCGTAACATAAATCAAATCAAATCCGACTGATCTGCGACCTTACTTTCTTCGCTAATGAAAATAAAATCTTTACCACTTTTCCTTGTTGTTAAAAAAAATAACATCGCTCAGTGTCTTTTCGTGATAGATTCTTATCACCTAATTTAATTCTCGCCTTTTTTTTTTTTTTTTTTCACGCAACCCTAAATAGTGTCACAACAAGGACTCTAGAACCTTGAGGTGAAATGTGGAGTGAGACCTAGATAAAATCAAAAAACGGTCCACACTAAAATTAACCACACATTTCCTACTATTTATTATATGCTCAGCAATAGCAGAGCCAGAAGTATTGATTAGTTGGCTCCTTCTGGCAGACGGATTCAAAATCTTGGGGTGGGGGTAAATGTTTTATTCTCGAATCCAAACGCTGGGGCGTCCTCCCTATGTAGTCGTGCTTTTCAACTACACTCTATTGGTAAAATCAATGAATTAACATGATGGGGAGGGAGGACGTAATTTATGAATGGAAGAGAAACAGCACGGGTATCAAAATATTACCCTAACATTCGCCAAAAAATAACAGCTGTTGATCATACGTGAAATTCGTCTAGATAAAATCTCACCCTCTGTACCAATATAGGGAAGACGCAGATAAACTGGGCATTTATCAATAAATTGCGGCTTAACCTTATGAAATTTACTAATGACGTCTTGGATAACGGAGTCTAAAATATCCAAAGGATATCCGTTTTTTGATAGTGTCATCCTAAGAAACTCAATTTCACCGCAGAGAAGGCCATCAGAACATAACTTCCCTGTGAATTAAGGCCTTAATCAAATTAATCTTTCCTTGTCTGGGACAAAAAGAGTCCCAACGCGTATAAAGTCCTGAAAAAGTGGCCTTCCTAAATAGGGAAGTATCAAACTTGTCAATAATCTTATGGACAAGAACATCCAAAAAGGAAAGACAAGAATTGGACTCCTTTTCTACGGTAAACTTAAGAGCAGGATGGACAGAGTTTAATTTGGTGAGAAACTTGTTGGCTTCAGCCTCATTATTAAAACATAAAAGGTATTATCCACATAACGATGATACATAAGAGGGCGACCAATACAAGTAAATAAAGGAAGCCTAAATGAAACCCGACAAAAATATAAGGTCCATTTGGACAGAGGCGAACCTATTTTTACCTTTTTCGATCTGCCGATACATATTTTATTATTAAAACTAAATTCGACAGACGCAGTAGCGAACATCATAAGCTCAACAAATACACCTTCAGGAAAATCTGAAGGAGACAGAGAGGTACTATACAACATATTGCAACACATCTCAATAGTCTCAGACAGGAGAACACAGATAAACAAGGATCAGATATCAAACAAACACATGAACCCACCATAAGTAGAAGAACTACGTATAATTTCAACAAAGGAGAAGGAATCTTTAATACAATGTGCAACAAAACTGGTTGTAGCACATTCGAGAGCCAACTAGTGACTTTATGCTGGGAAGACCCAATCTAATTTTAAGAACTTTGATGTATCACCAAGTATATTGTCCATCTTAGAAACATAATCTGAATAGTCCAGTAGCACAACACCAACACCTTTATCAGGTTTAGTAATAACCAGGTTATAATTATTTTTTAAATTTTTAATTACCCGGTGGTGTTGTTCTCCCCATTTTGACTCTGATGAAGAAACAAAGGAGCCAGCATAAGAATGGGCATAACTATTGAGTTTGGCCTTAAGATTGCTAGGAGATTCGACAGAGTGAGGGACAAGTCTACAAACCTGTGCATATAAAATCTCAAACTCCGAAAAAATTTTCTCACGGTCAGGCATTGAAAACGGAACACAAAAATCCAAACCATGAGCCAAGATACGAGTCTCCAAATTGGAGGGGACATAAGATGAATAATTAAAGATAATTCCTTCCACAGTAGGTTCATCACTGCATCCAAACCGTTTACGAATTAAGTAATTTAATTTTGTCTGCATAGATATAGACAATTTTTTTAACATCACATTTATTTGAATAGCCGACTAACCGGGAAAAGCTAATTTGATCAAAGTAAGAGTTAACATACACTTTCTCCATTGGTTCTTAAAGGTACAATTGAGAAAAAGGATTCTTTTAGAAAAAGTTTTAATTGAATCCTCCATAAATATCTTTTCAATTTTTAACCAGAATGTAGTCTCGAATTCCTTATCCGAAACAAGATATTGGACGGACATACATGTTTGTCAACACACACTCGAAGAAACTGGCATTGAAAATTTAACCATCTTATACGTGCTTTGAGTGATAATAATTTATCTAAACTCTGGATAAATCCAGGTATATATAATACCAAAGCTTCTTAAAAGCATGCTTCAAATCGGCCACGCCTAAAAGGTGTAAAAATTTGCAAGTAAATAAATGAATAAATATTTTCAAAAAGAAGGCTGTCAGGAGGCCACGCAAAAAAAAAAAGCACAATTAAATGTTCTCACCCATGGACATCCAAAAAAAAGTTGGGGTTCTCTCTCTCTACGATAAATCTTAATATTGAACAGTACATTTCGGCTCCCAATTTCGATCTTATGATCTCATCAGGTAGATTATGAGATCGTAACCCAATGTTTAAAAAAAAGGTATTTAATATAATCCGGTTAATTTATATATATATATATATATATATATATATATATATATATATATATATATATAATTTAATTTAAAGAAAAAACAGACCACTTTAAGGTTCCTTTTCGTTATAATTTATTTAACCAGAGATTTTATTTTTCTTTAGATCTTCAGACTTCACTTTCAAAGTTGAAAAATGAATTTAAAATTTTACTTTTTTAAGGGCAGTTATATTTAATTTTTTATATAAGGTGAACATAAAGGGTGGTGAGGAATAGTGGAAGGACATGGTTGAGTTTAGAGAGGAAGGACTCATTTTAAAATTTATTTTTTATTTTATCTCTCAATACTTAATATTGAGGGGGAGGCGGTAAGGATTAGACAATGACCTATTTAATCTTTCAACTCACTGGAAATAATATAATAATATAATAAGATATAGTTGTATGCATATATATGTATATATGCGTGTATATTTGTATAAAACAGAGGTTTGGTGTTTTTTATTACCTTTTAATCTTACTTCATCTTGAAATAATTTCTAATTAGACTTGATCACTTAGATTTAAATTAAAAAAAAATTTACTCATTAATCATTATTCACGATATTAAAAATATTAAAATTAAAAATATTAAAAAAAAATTTTTTTAATTTAAACACTTAATTCACTATCTAACGTTAACTGTAAAAGTTAAGAAAAAATTTAAATATGTATTAAGATGGATGCGTGTGGAAATATGTATATGTATATGTAAATATTTGTGTATGTATGTGCGTGTATAGCGATGTTTATCAATACATGTGTATGTGGTTATATATGTAATTGTACATGTATATGAATATATGTGGATGTATTTACGTAAATATGTATGTGGTGTGTACGTAAAAACAAAAAAGTTTACTATTATCTTCAAATCTTACTCCATCTTGATTTGAAACTTAAACTTTAAGAAATATTACCCATCTAAAAATAGCTTCAGATTAAATTCATGAATTAGACTCTAACTAATAAATATATTTTTAATATTACAATATTAATAAATTTTTATTTTTATTTTTATATTTGTTTATTAATATAATATTCAGTTTATATTAAATCCCTAATTTATTTGTGGAGAAGTTAAATATTTAAATTGCTAGCAAGCATTAAATCTAATTTATTTTGGAGTTTTCCAAACATTTAAATTACTATCAAACGTTAAGATCTATTTTTATCTCAATTGCTAAATCTATACCACCCTTCTCCTTCCTCAAAAAACCCTATTTTCCATCTTTTATTTTTATCTCTTTACTTAGTTTTTTTTGGCATTTTTTTTTTCTTTTCTTTTTTTTTCCTATATCATTTCCGTTGAGTTGACCGATTAAATAGGTCATTGTATGAGAACCCCCCCCACCTCCTCAATATTAATTAAAAATAAAAAAAATAAATTTTAAAACTCTCCCTTCCCTCTTTAAACTCGACCATGTCTCTCGCACTTTCCCTCAACACCGTCTATGTTCACCTTATATAAGCATAACACTGCCCTTAAAAAGTGTAAATTTTAAATTCATTTTTTCAGCTTTCAAAGTGAAGACTGAAGATCCAGAGAAAAATAAAATCTCTGGTGAAATAAATTATAACTAATGGAACCTTAAAGTGGTCTGTTTTTTTTTTTAAATTGAATTAAATTATTCGTTCTGACTTAACATTGAGGTTTCCGGATTTCGTCCCCCTTAGGATTATCCATACGGATTACCAAGATTTTCGTTACTTCATATATATATATATATATATATATATATATATGTATGTATTCAGTTGTGTGGATATGACATTGTGACCCTGGTTTCATCATACAAACTGGTTTATTTTTTTTTTATTATTATATTATCTGTATTTTTATCATTATCATGGTTTCCACAACTATTATCATATGTGACGTCACGTGGCTGCCCCAGGCTCTGATGTCCTGGTCACGGCGTCGATTGTGACGTCGTCCCCCCGGTCGCAGCGCCGACTGTGTCGTTCTATCCTGATCTACCACGGCGCCAGTTGTGACGTCCCTAACAGCACCCGCCTGACGTCTTCGCCGCGGCGTCAGCTGTTCGCCTCGCTGCTCCAAACGTGACGTTCTAACCCTTTTTATGATCCGGGTAGGAATCTGGTTAGATTGATACCAGCCTCGCCGTTCCCAACCTGCTTCCAACGCCTGGTTACCAGGGTAACTGCACTGATCTCCAGTCTGCCTACCCACGTTGTGAATTGATCTTAGACAGACGAGATCAAACAGGGTTGGGGCCGTAATGCAAGCTGAGTTCAACGGGGGGTGATAACACACAATTATGTATAAAAAGAAAATAAAATGAAAACTCACAAAGTCCAAAGTATCAAAGAAAAAAAAGTAACAAACTTTTTTATGTCTATCTGTTCGGTACATAGGACTATGTCTACATCCCGACCCGTTCTGTGGATTGTGGCACGACGCTTTCACTAGGCAACTTTAAGGCTTCAAGTTGTCTGCTCTCTAGGAAATTTGTGTTTTGGTGTGTCTTTGGACGAAAGTCGAAAAAAAACTTATTTCTGTGGTCTGATTCTAAGTCGCTCTTCAAACTACTTGTTCTTGGTTGAAGAAGAGTCCAGAAGTGTGCGTGAATCTTGTTCAGCTATCTGATGCTGTTTCAACACTGGGCGCTCATCCCTGCTTGTCGTCCAAGGCTCAAAACTTCTCGCCAGGGTTCGCGGCTGACTCAAACTTCTTCTCTCCGGCTTGGGTCGAACGAACTTCTTCAGGCCAAGGGCCAAACGAACTGGCCTCTGCTGCCCGCTAAGGGGCGAACGAATTCGGCCCGCCGTCCGCGGTTCCACTCCGCTTGCCGTCCGCGGCTGCACTGATTTCTGTCGGTTTCTTCTTCGTTTTTTATTGACGCCGTCAAAACTGGGGTGGGTCTGTCGGCGCCAGGGGTTCTTCGATAATTCTAAATACGTATCCACCCTTCTTATTTCTGGTTAGGGATTTTCATTCTTTTCCATTTTCGGTAACTCTCCTCTCACTCCCACTCCCTCACTGTGCCTCTGAGGGGCGTGTACCAACTTCCCCACTTCTTCGTATCGGTTCCTCACACTTACACTTCTGATAGAGGCGTCGACTGATTCTCCTCGTGCGTCAGGTGACCGCTCTCAGCCAATGAGGTCCTGGTCGGGTATCTTTCCTCCTCCTTCGTATGTCATGTGATCTATTTAGCCAATGACGTCCTAGTCGGGCGTGGACAATCCGTGGCTTTGTTTTGGGAAAGGATTACCTTGCTTAAAAAACAAAAATATTTATTAAACCGCCCTTATCATGAACGACCGAGATGACACTCTCGGCTTTTTAACACGTGGTATTTGTCAAGCAGTTTATCGCTAATTGGACATGACCCAAGAAAGGATTTCCTAGGCTAGCTGGCGTTTTCTGAAGCGAAATAAAAATATTTCATTTTCCTTTCGCTCGAAGGTCTGATAACAAAAATCTCTATTATCGCAGAGAATCCGGTCGGTGAGAATGCCTGTGTGGGATTTTAATTTTTCATATCTAACTACGGTTCTGTAGCCACGCCTGTGTTTTGTCAAAACATTAACGTTTTCAAATGGACTTTACTTTGGCGAACATTTCTTGACGACACAATTCCATTATCTCTATTTTAGTCACTTATCGAAATAAAAAAATTTCGTTCGAGTTTTTTTTTCTTCTTTTCCTCCTTTCTTTCTTTTCCCTTGGGTGACATCCAACTGATAACAAACTTCCATTTTTCGTGGACACGCGGAAATCGGTCAAATGCTTGTTCGTACGTGACCTGGATATTTTCGACATCTGCTATGTATCAATTCTAGCCGTGTGTGTGTGTGGGCTCGCCTATGACCTGTTTCGTATTTTTTTTTCTTTCTTCTTCTTTTTTCTTTCTTTTTCCCAGAACGCTTGAATGTAAAGAAAGAATTATTCTTAAAAACTAAAATATTTTTTTCGGCCTTAAATAATTATTAAATGGTTGATAAACCGTAAAAAAACAAATCATATGTCTATGAATACTTCTTTCAAATCGTCAGGTATGCATGGTGTCACAATAATTACGATTGTCATTATATCCCCCCACACATTTTTCACACTTTTGTTTCCATAACTAATGCTAAATTTACCGTTAACACATCAACAACTATTATTAACATATTAATAATAATTAATATCACTTTTATTATCACTGTCATCATAATCACTATCGTTAACAACACACAAGTATCTGTCTATATTTCTGAGATGAGGTATTATGTACATTATTTACATTATTCGGACTAGAACAGTCTACCCCAGTGAGCGAAATAAAGTGTTAAGTTCGACATTCCAACCACCTGAAGAATCCCGGATCGTAGAACGGGCTAAACGTTGTAATAAATATGGCGACAAAGATGAGGACAATAGTCCTAATAATGTAAATAATAAAACACACAAGTAGTTAGCCTTAAAAATACAAACATCATCATCACCATGGCAACAAACAGAATCCAGCTTAACCAAATAGCCACACCAATAGGAGTGTATGTGCGTATCTATATGCATGTATGTATGTAAGTGTGTGAGGAAGTGTAAGTTTCTCTGACGGCGCAGGTGGTAGATGGGAAAAGCGTCAAGAACAGCCCTACCCGCTCCTTATTGAAAGGAAAATCGCTACATATATAAAAGTTAAGGTCTCGACACAGAAATAGAATTACAACTGCGTATGTATGTATGCTCGAATGTATGGATATGTATCTGCGACAAGCATCGGATTGTTTATATGGATGTGTTTGCATGAACCAAAATGCGTACACCTGTATGTATGTGTGTCTTTGCGTATGAGAATGTCACCCAAAACAAACACAGAC